ACTCTCAATCTTTAAATTGACAATTATGTAACTACCACAGCAAGTGACGAACAACGTTCGTGTCGCGAGAGCCCACGTGCATACCAAGAGAATATGTGTCTGAATGAGGGTGTGTCACAAAGTGTTGCCACAAAGCCACAGCACCCTTTGTCGGGGCAAACATACCAGAAGGCAAAGTTCCTGCTTCTTGGCCGCTCCTCCGTCTGGTCTGGCTCCTTTGGAAGGGACTGCTTTCATCTCTCCAACCCTCCCTTCGCTTGGCATCACCTCAAAATGGCAGTTTGGACATCTTTAAGGGACTCAAGTCATGTTCCTCTGAAATGTTCTTTGGGTTTGGGGAAGAAAAAGAAGTCTGAAAGGGTAAGACTGAGGCTGTCCACGGAATGGGGTAAGGTTTCCCAATGAAATTCTCCTAGGACAGTCCTTGCCTGCCTGGAAGACTGAGCAGGCAGATGCATTATTCTGACGGGGAGAAAATTCTTCAGGTACGTTGTTAGGTTTCTGGAGTCGGTAATACCTTGGTTCTCGGCTTTGCACGATGGAAAAAATCACAGCAAAGCCCGTTTTGTAATCCAAGTAGGTTTTTATGAAGGACGGGACAAGTTTTAGTCTCAAAAGGGTTTGCAACTGGGCACAAACAACCACATGGAAAGAGCACCATGTGTGCAGATAGTGTGTGTGTGTGTGTGTGTATCCCGGGAGGCCAGAAGCCCAACAACCCTAGAGGCTAAGAGCATGTGGGCCAAAAGGCTGTCCCCACCACCCCCAGTAGACCCAGGGCATCCACTCGGGGAAGGGGGACCCTCCCCCTCTACCTGCCTCTGCTCAGGAGCAAGGTTAGAGAGCAAGGCCTTCCCACAGCCAGGATATTTCAAGCCTCTGGCTGGGGAGGCTTGGGTTGGTTTGGGATGGTATTGGTTGATCTCATTGGCTGGGTTGAGCCCACCTGGGTCATGTCATGAGCTTTGGCCTAGTTTAACTGGCCCAGGTGTACCTCTCACTTGGCTTGGGGCTTGAGTACGAGCATGCTCAGTTTGGGGTCTTCCTAGGTGTCTCATGGTTGCCTGATTTCTTTCCAGTCTTCTCTGTGGGGGCCTTTGCAAGCATGGGAGGGACAATCCCTTGTCCCTTAGCTAGCTAACTAAAAAAATGCCTGGCCTTTTTCTTACCACTGTAATTTTTCTTTAAACTCCTTCCTAATAAGCCCCAGTCATCATCCTGTGTTCTTTGAGAAACTAAACCCAAATCACCCATTTCGAATCTCATAAAACTGCCATAACCTTCTGAGCTGACCTTTATGCCTTAAATTGAGCTGGCCAGGCAGATGCCTTCAGAAGCCACTGTTTTGTTTTGAACCTTACTTGCTGGGGGATATTGGTAAATCCAAGACTAGGCCCAGGGAGATTCATTCCACAAAATCTCCTTAAAAAATAAATCCAAATTCACTGCTATCGAGTACTTTTGACTCTTGTGACAGGGTAGAACGGCCCTTGTGAGTTTCTGAGCCACTAACTCATTAGGGAGTAGAAAGCCTCATTTTTCTCCCCTGGAGCAGCTGGTGGTCTGGAACTGCTGACCCTGGAGCTAGCCGCCCAGTCCGCAACCACGACACCACCAGGGCTCCTTAGTGGTCTCATTTGGGTTCCTAAAGGTGGGAAAGGGGGCTACTAAAAATAAGTGTTGAGGAAAGATCAGCTACCTCAAAGAGTGGGGCTCTCCACCAGCCTTTTAAGCAAGATAGACACTAATGAAAACGATTTTGTGGAATTTAAAGTAAATGGAAAACGACAGTGGTAAGAAAAAGTCGAGGAAAGTTGCCCGAAGAACCTCCCCCACCGTCAGATTAATGCACTGGGACAGGAACTAAAGCGCCCTGGAGACGCTGGGGTAAGTTAGCAGTGCAGGGGACATCGGCGGCGCACCAGCGCTCCGCGGGAGGACGATGTCTGCTCCCTTGGGTAGCTGTGAGTCAGAATCAACGCACTAACAGTAGGCTTGCTTTTGAGACTCCTGAATGTGTCTAGCTGTTCACTGAAGGCAGAGTCGTTTTAAAACACGTTTTCTTAGCAATAAATCCGTTCCAGTTGAGCTGGAATCCGATACTTTTTGACTTACCGTCGTACACGTATATGCAGCCGAGAAGGGATCCCAGTGGCTAAAGCGCCGGTCTCCACCGCGGGAGAACCATCTGGCCATCTGTTTTCCCAAACATTTCATCCTTCAAAACTCTATGGGGCAGTTCTGTACGGCGGCGGAATGGATCCGGCGCCACCCGGGGAAGAAGGATTTGGCTCTCCCCTCACGGTACAGTTACTTTCTCTTCTGGGAAACACCCGGGGGCAGCTCCACCCTGTCCCAGAGGGTCGCACGAGTCGAAATGGCTCCATGCCAGCGAGCAGTTTGGAGTTTCTCTTGGCTTGGCTAACTTCATACGAAGTTGCGACTCTCGTGGTTTACCATATGTTTGTGTGTGTGTCGAATCGCTTACGAGGAGAACGCAGCCCGTGTTAGCAAACCAACACCCCACCTCGTTTGTTTCACCAGGCGGGTGCACCGGGAAGAAACCCGGGCGGTGCTCGGAGGGAGGGGGAGGGGAAGGGGCCGGGTCTCCGTGGTCCCCAGAGGGCAGAAGTGTGGAGTCACCCCGAGGGACGGGGGGGCCTGCTCTTCGCTGCTCCAGCCGCGGGACCAGGCATTGCCCAAGCACAGCCCCAGCGGGGTGCCGCACGCAGCCCGCACGGCTGGCAGTGGGTTTTCCAACCGAGGGGATGCCCTCTGTGCCCACGAAGCTAGCACCTGGGGCAGGCTCCGCGCCCCTCGGTGCGGAAACAGCGCGCACCCCTTCTCCCTTCGCCCCCACCTCAAACCACTTCCCCACCTCAAAACCACAGAGAGGGGACATTGAGTCACCGCGAGGCCGGGCGCGAGCCGCCTAGGGAAGGAGCGCGGCCGCCAGCCTCCTGGGCCTTCCGGATGCTTCCAGGAGGGGGGAGGGCTCACCGGGACAAGAAATACACAAAGCGGGGACGAGGGGGGAGGCGGCTGGCTGCGCAGGAGCCGAGCCAGACGCGCGGAGAAACGCTGCCCAGGATCAAAGGAAATATGACATTTGAAAAGAATGCGCACGTCTGCGGGTGCAGGGCGGGCCCGGGAGTGTGCTGGGAGCCGGGGATGGGCGGGGTCCCCGCGCTTCCAGCCCGGCTGCCCCTTCTCCGCCGCCCACCGCCCTCCGCCCGCACTCCTTTGGGGGTGGGGCCGGGGGGCGTTATTCGCCCCCCCGAGGTGGCGTGTGGACGCCGGATCGGAGGTGTGCCTCGTTCGCCCTCCTCGCGTGCGTCTGGATTTTCTGGACGAGGCCGGGACGGGAAGTGTAACCCAAGGAGACCCACCGCGGGTGGGGGAATCGAACCAGGCCGTCTTCCCGCCCGGCCTCGGGACGTTCTCTCCCGCCAGCCAGCATTCTCCTCCCGCCCTTTCAGCGTCGCGGCCCGGGGCTCACAGCCGGGGTAGCTCCGCACGCACGTCACTGGAGTCCCCGGGGGCAGGGGAAGGGGGTGGTCCCCTGGGCGGGACTGGGGACGAGGGACCGAGGAAGGGAGTCGCCCGGGCTGCAGCCGCGCTCGGAGCCTCTAGGCCAGCCCTCTCCCCTTCCCGCAGCCCTGGAGAGCCTGTTTCTCATTAGAGTAGCGGGCGCGGTCCAGCCCAGCTCCCGAGTTTGTAAACGTCTGACCCGGACGCCGCCGCAGCCTTAACCATCTAGGCGCCGGGTTTGGGCGGGGCTGGGGATGCTACCAGGGAGCTAGAGGGGAGGGGGAATAGAGCTTGTGGATCGTCTCCGGAATCCAAGTCCTAGGACGTCCTTAATTCCCTGCCCTAAAATCGAAGCCCCGCCTTATTTGTCTTTCCTGGAAATTCCACCTGGAACCTTCCCTCCTCCCCCGCCTAGGTGACAGGTGTCCAGCTTGGTGGCCCGCCCTGTCGTTCGGCTCCAGACCCCTGGTAAACCTGGCCAGGATTTCCTGGACAGCTGGAGCGGGAGGCCAGCAAGTTAGGATTTCATTCCCGACTACATTTCTAGGGAGGAGGGAACTGACTTCCCACGGAGGGTAATTAATGGCCCTAGTGTCCTATAGGGTCGCTTTGAGTCAGTATCTACTCGACGACATTGGTTTTGCTTTTGGAGTGGTGGTGTGGGGGGCACTGTGTGGCTAGGACACAGGCAGAGGTAAAGCCCGGTCTGGATTGACGCTCATCTGGGGCCATGAGACTTTAAACAGTTCCCCAAATCTTTTCAGGCGGGTTGGCTACACCGACCAAACGTCCTTCACCAGGGCAAAGGATTCGGCAGACCCAGGCGGGGCAGGCTCAGGTCAAGGACTTGGAAGGAATGGCCAGTCCCTCTGCAATGCAGCCTGTGGCCTCTCAGCACCCGGAGCTAGCCCACCTCGGACTTGGATGGAATCAGAGGGGAACCGGATTGTTCAGCTTTGTTATTGGATGGTGCACAGACCTTCAGAATTTAAGGAAGGGTCGCGGGGTGGGGCGCAGGGGGTGGCTTTAAGGAACTCGACCCGGGGCCCCTGAATTACCAAGGAGGGTGGTGATTGAGCTCCCAAGTGGAAAAGATCGTCACAAACGTGGGCCAATAGGCACATTAGGGTACTACCAAGCGGCGAGGGACCAGTTTCCAATGCAGTTTTTTTTAAGGGGAGGGAGTGGGGAGAGGACACAGGGAGGGAGAGTGGGGGAGGACGAGGGGCGCGTGGTTTTCCCATCTCATCCCAGGAGGAGGGGCTGGAGCATCCCCGGCAGCCAATCAGGGACAGGCTGGTGGGGGGGCCCGCTTTGAAGAAGTTTGGGGGAAAAAGTTTGGAAAAGTTTCTATAATAACGAGGGGGCGTCCGGAGGGAGGCGGCAGCGGCCGAGGAGGGGGCGTCTTGGAGAAGGGGAGGGAGGGAGCCGCGGGTGAAGACCACAGCAGCCTCCTGAGCTCCCCCTCCCACCCAGACCCGGACCTGGGGGCTCTGGCCGAATCCATGGGGGCAGCAAGCTGCGAGGATGAGGAGCTGGAATTTAAGCTGGTGTTCGGGGAGGAAAAAGAGGCCCCTCCGCTGGGCGCGGGGGGGTCGGGGGAAGGTTAGTGCTGGGCTGGGAAGGGGTTTGGGGGTCAGAGAGAGTAGAGTCCGGAGACCCGGAATGTGGGAAATTTAGAACAGTGGATCCAGGGGTTGGGTGGGGGTGGAGAGAGCATCAGAGAATGATGGGAGTCTGGGGTCTTGGGGATCTGCAGAGATGAGATTGGGGGCCTTCGGCACCACTTTCTCCTTTTTAGGTGGTGACTGGGGTGGGGGTGGGGGTGCCGCTGGCTGCGTGCCGCCTCTCCGCGAGCCGACAGTCTCTGGGATGGGGGGGCGGGCGCAGCGTCCCCTAGAGCCCTGGGGTGGGAGAGGGAAGGGGAAGTCAGGCGCAGGAGCTTGTCGCGGCCGGCCGGACAGAGGGCTAGGCCGCGAGACTGGGCGCCCGGGGCCCGGGGCGCTCTCGAGTCCCGCCAGGACGCCCTCCCCTCCTTCTCCCCCTCCCCAGTCTGGTCCCAATGAGAGGCAGATGGCGGGACGGTGCCGGGGGCGGCGGCTGCAGCTCGCACGGAATCCGGGCTGCCCACAGCCCCTCCCTAGCCGGGACCGGCACGCAGCAGCCCCTCCGCGGTACCCCCGCCCCGGGATGTGGGGGGAAGAAGGGTGGAGTCACCTCGCCCTCGTCACCACTGCCCAGGAGCTCCCCTCCCCAGCCCACGGTTGCGATGGCAACTGGGGCTCAAGCCAGCGGTGTTTGGGGGTTTGGGAACCGCTGCTAATTGGGTTCATGTGTGAGTCGCCCCCAGCCCAGCCCTCCCTAAACCCGCCTCCGAGTTCCCTCCCAGCGCCAGTCGACGTGCCGCCTCCGCTTTGGGACCCGCCCCCCGTCGGGACCCCAGGGCTGGGGGCTTGGGCAGGGGGCTGGGACGCGAGTTTCAGAGTGGGGCCCGGCCCTGTGGGCCTGAGTCGTTCTCCTTCTGAGAATCAGGTTCAAGCCGGGGTTCTCCTGGGCTTTTGTCTGTGCCTCAGAAGAGCTTTTCAGAAACCCCCTCCTTTCTGAGACAAGAGAGGGTGGTAAGACATGGGGGTCTGGCCATTTGATGGGCCGGGTTGTCTCAAGTGCTGCTCTCTCTCCCCAACTCCTGTGGCATCCTTTCTTCTGTCCAACCCCCCCTTTCCACCCTCCCTACTTTCACAGAACTGGACTCAGAGGACGCCCCGCCCTGCTGCCGGCTGGCCCTGGGGGAGCCCCCTCCTTATGGCGCGGCCCCCATTGGCATCCCCAGGCCCCCACCCCCTCGGCCTGGCATGCACTCTCCACCTCCGCGCCCAGCGCCCTCACCGAGCACCTGGGAAAGCCAGCCAGCCCGGTCGGTGAGACTGGGGGGGCCCAGCGGAGGGCCTGGGGGGACTGGGGGCGGCCGTGTCCTCGAATGTCCCAGCATCCGCATCACCTCCATCTCGCCCACACCCGAGCCACCCACCCCGCTGGAGGACAACCCCGACGCCTGGGGGGACGGCTCCCCCAGAGACTACCCGCCTCCGGAAGGCTTTGGGGGCTACCGAGATGCAGGGGGCCAGGGCGGCGGGCCCTTCTTCAGCCCGAGTCCTGGAAGCAGCAGCCTGTCGTCTTGGAGCTTCTTCTCCGACGCCTCGGATGAGGCAGCCCTGTACGCGGCCTGCGATGAGGTGGAGTCGGAGCTAAACGAGGCGGCCTCTCGCTTTGGCCTGGGCTCCCCACTGCCCTCACCCCGGGCTTCACCTAGGCCGTGGACCCCGGAGGACCACTGGAGCCTGTACGGTCCGAGCCCCGGAGCCCGGGGCCCCGAGGACAGCTGGCTACTCCTCAGCGCTCCAGGGCCCACTCCTGCCTCACCCAGGCCCTCCTCTCCGTGCGGCAAGCGGCGCTATTCCAGCTCGGGAACCCCATCTTCGGCTTCCCCAGCGCTGTCCCGGCGTGGCAGCCTAGGGGAGGAGGGGCCTGAGCCACCGCCAGCACCCCCATTACCTCTGGCACGTGACCCTGGCTCCCCAGGTCCTTTTGACTATGCGGGGGCCCCACCAGCTGAGAGCATCCCCCAGAAGACGAGACGGACTTCCAGCGAGCAGGCGGTGGTCCTGTCCCGGTGCGAGGAGCCTTCTCCATGCAATGGGAAGCTGCCTTCCGGGCCCGAGGATGTTGTGGCTCCCCCAGGGGGCTCCCGGAAGGAAGTGGCTGGCATGGATTACCTGGCGGTGCCCTCCCCGCTCGCTTGGTCCAAAGCACGGATTGGGGGACACAGTCCTATATTCAGGTGAGGGTCCCCCTGGTGTTGCAGCCATTGCATTAGAACAGGATGGTCAAGGGATGGGTCCGAAAGAAGGGCCCAGTTTTGTGCCCTCTGCTTTCCAAAGAGAATTTCAAGGATAGTTGCCACCTACTGTTTCAGGAACAATTAAGAAAAACAAAACAAAACAAAACAAAACAACAAAGCCCTTCTCCTGGGGCCGGATGATTTGCAAAACCTTCAGGACCATTTAGGGAGAGGGTCTGATATTCTAGGAGGACCAATTAAGTAAAGGCACTGGTCTACCAGGAGGCCCCAACTCTGGGCATGGAGCTCAACCCAGAGAAACCCATTACTGGCCATTCAATTAATTCTGACTCACAGTCGCCCTATAGGACAGGGTAGAATAACCCCTGTGGGTTTCCAAGACCTTAAGGGAGAAGACAGCCTTATCTTTCTCTTGAGGAGCAGCTGGTGGGTTTGAACTTACAACCCTGTGGTTAGCACCTCAATGCAAACCACACCACCAGGACTGGAGCTAGGTTCAGAGAATGGGTGGGGTTTCAATCTTCCACTCTGGCCCCTCAGACAGGTATGGGTCCTGTAACTCTGTTGTGGAAATCTCCTAAACATATAGCTCAGGGGTGGGCAAACTGGGACTCACGAGCACTGTGCTGTACTTTCGGTACACACGTGTGGTTCTGAAGTAAAGCGAAAAGATTTAAAGGGCATTATGGAGAACATGGTGATTTCACTTGTTTGTAAACACATATTTCTAGCTCTTAAATCACCTTTAAAGGGTTGTGAGGGTCAGCATAGGTTCTTCTGTCTCAAAAGTTTGCCAGCCCTAATATAACAGCTTCTTTTAATAAAATCGTGTATACTTTTAAGTCAAATAATTTCTGTTAAAACAGGCTGTCCTGCAGTTCTTCTACCCCTCCCACTCTCAACGAACCCCATTTGTCTCAATAAGCCTGCGCCTTGAGACATCAGGCTGAGCTCCTGCCAGCAGTCTTTCCTGATCCTCAGCTTCCCTGCATTTCTCTCAGGGCATGGTCCTCAATCTCTGTTCTATTGATGTCTTGAGCACACTGATTCCTTGTTGTGGAGGTGACCATCCCCGGCCTCTGTCTCCTACTCGCAGGGATCACGCTGCCATTTTTAAAGGTCTCCAGACAGTGCCAGATATTACTTGTTGGTAGGGTGCGGGCGGGGAAGGCAAAGCTCACCTGTTGGGTACCTGGGAGTGTAACAGGAAAAAGGGGTCTCCTATAACCCCCAGGCTCCTGGAACTATCCAGCCCCGGCTAGCAGAGGCTCGCAGAAAGGGCGCTGGCCTGGCTCAGGCTGCTGCTGTGTCCCTTTCTGGCTTGCTTGGTCCCTTTCACGCCATCTGTTTCCATAGTTGGAAAATGGAAGTGTCACCTTGGAGGTCCTTTTCTAGACGGAAGTGGTGCTCCTCTACCTCCCTCTTTTCCATCCTGTTCCCAGGGATTAGGGTGGCACTGGCGTTTCTCAGTATATAGGTGAGCCCCTCCTCCAGATCCTGTGCTCGGAGCTGGGAAAGAAGGGCGCTTCGGGCCTGTGGCCATCCTCCACAACCTCATCTCAAGTGGTACCCAGGAGTGCAGGGGGTAGGGGTGGGGGGAGTCCGTGTGTCCTCTCTCTCCCAGCTTTTGATTTCCCTGCCTCACTCCCTCCTTCCCATCCAGGGAGCTGAGGCCAGCGGTTGCCCTGAGCAGGCTGAGACTGCAGGTGATCAGTGCTCTCCCTCTCACACAGGACCTCTGCCCTACCTCCCCTGGACTGGCCTCTGCCCAGTCAGTATGAGCAGCTGGAGCTGAAGATCGAGGTCCAGCCTCGAGCCCACCACCGGGCCCATTATGAGACCGAGGGCAGTCGAGGAGCTGTTAAAGCTGCCCCTGGTGGTCACCCTGTGGTCAAGGTAAGGGACAGAGGGCGGGCCTGCTGTCTTCTCTCCTCTCCCATCCCAGCTTCCTGCAGCCAGGCTCCAGCTCTGTAGACCCTTGGCACTGCCCTTTCCCACACTCAGCTCTGACCCTGCGAACAGGCTGGGGGAAGGGCTGGAGTTAAAGGGAGGAGGGCTGTACTTCAAAGACCCGGATATACTTTCTTCCACTCCGTCCTTCCTCTCCAACTCAACTCATCCCGTGGGACACCAGTCTCGTGTCTACTCTGGAAAATGATGGCCTGCCAGATGGGGGATGGGGACCGGAGGAGGGGTTAGGCTAAGGCCAAAAGTCACTGGGAATGAGGTTGTCCCTAAATGTCATTGGGCCACTCTCTCCAAAGCCCTTCTCCTTCCTCCAGCCCACTTTAGGCCTCATTCCAAGAATAACACAATGAACTCCAGGCCACATTTTCTTCACAACGGGTGCCCAGTCCTGTCCCTATTTCCTCCCCTGCCCCCCCAGGGAAGCCTTCCCAGGATAGGCTTTATCTTGTACCATCCCTGTCTCCTGGTGGACTCAGATTCCTGGGGTGGAGGAAGGAAGAATCAGGGGGGATTTTTAAAAATCATTTTATTAGGGGCTCATACACCTCTTATCACAATCCATACACACATCAATTGTGTAAAACACATTTGTAC